CTCTCTCTCTCTCTCTCTATATATATATATATATATATATATATATATATATATATATATATATATATATATATATATTATTTTATGGTACATGTAAATCGTTTGCATTTTTAGTCTAGTTTTTTGCCATCATATTAATATAGTTCTTTTGCCTTTACATTCTAGTTTGATTGGTGATTTTCTTTTGCTATGTACAAGAATATATTTCATATTACAAATAATCTATTTTTAATTGAGTCTTAAATTATTCATTACTATTTGATTAAGTTATCATTAATATATCTTAGAGGGTGTTGGAACTGGCTTTATTTTAAGTGTTTATTGGCTTTTAAGCACTTCTCTAGTTTTTTGGTGTTCGACAATGATAAAAAGTGCTTAAAAGCACTTACTTTTAGGCATGAAAAGTAAAAAAGCCAAAAGTTGGGTATTACTCCCTCCGATCCACAATAAGTGATTTTTTTTGGATGTTTTCACACAGATTATGAAATCCACCTTTTAACATTAATTAGCAATAAAATTGACAATATTAACTTTTACTATCTCTCACATAAACACTCCTAACACATATTCCGATACTATTTACTTCAAGGGCAATGTAGGGAAATAATAATTAGTTCATTCTTGGAATCTTGAAAAAAACACTTATTGTGGACCATAGAAAAAGAGCCAAAAAATCACTTATTGTGGACCGGAGAGAGTACCAACTTATGACTTTTGGCTTTTAGCTTATAAGCTACTTTTTAAAAGCCAATCCAAATACCCTCTTAGTAAATGATACATTTCTCAAAGAACAATTGGTTTGATAGTATTACGTTGAAAATGTAGTCGTCGGGATATGTGTTTAGTATTGTATGTCTCATAATTAAGAAAAATCGACAAATAACCAAAAAATTCGAAAAGCCAATATAAACCAATCTTAACCGAACCACGAACACCCCTAACGTCAATGCGTAAAACTTAAACTACTTTCAAATTTTACCTCGATACATTAACAATGTAAAGAACTAATACTCTATCAGGTCACCTAAAAAATAATTCACATAATTATCTATAATAAGTTTATTAATAACTTTAAAAATGAGATAAACAACTAGTTATAATATAATATTAAATTATTTAAGTAGAGCAAAGCCTTTTCTATCGTTTATTTGTACTAAGGTATGAGAAAACTCGAGTATAGTCACGAAAAATATAGATAATGTGAAAGACTTTTGGATTAGTGAAGATCACAATTCACAAACATGAGATAATATAATACTATGGGAAGATGCGATCAAGAGTATGGAGTTTTTGCTCCTTGCAAATTAGAGTAATCCTTCCTCCGGTCCATAACAAGTGATCAATTTGCTTTTTTATTTTGGTCCAAAATAAGTGTACATTTATATAATGAAGAAAAAATTTAATTTATTTTTACAAAATTACCCTTATGTACATATTCCTAAAAAGTTTTCTTACTCCCCACATTAAATATTTAATTAAGGGTAGTTTAGTCATACTAGGTATTTTTGTATAGAATTCAGTATTTTTTTAATGGGCGTGCCAAAAGTAAATTGGTCATTTATTGTGGACCGTAGGGAGTATAGCTTATGAATTTTTTTATTATTGCTTCTGTTATGAAATACATATTTATATGGATGTCCACTAATCAAATATAACTCTCACTACTCTTCTCCATTATGTAGATAACCCCCACTACTTCTCACCATTATTGTTGTAACTCCCTCACCTTCATAACCTACCCATGATCTTCCTCCATGATCTCAAATGTTTAATGGCATACTTATGGAATTCTTTTGGTATACCTCTATGTTGTACTATAAATAGAGGATGAGAACTCATTTTGTAACATACTTGAATACATGGAAGAAATAGATTCTCTTCTCTCTTTCTCTCTACATTGTTGTCTATCTTTTTGTTTTATATTATTACTTTGAGCTAAGTTTTGTAACACGTTATCAGCACGAGTCTCTATCCAATTGAGTTACTACATCTACAAAATTGTCTTACATCAGAAAAAACATATGTCTGTTGTGCCTGATATTCCTCTGGAAGAGATGAATTTTTCTTTTTCATTTAGCAATTTCAAATAATGGTATGAAATATAATAAAAGGAATAACAAGGTTGAGGAGACTAGTACATCATGAAAAGGCATATAATGCTAAGATACATTTTCTAATTTTTTTTTTAATTAATTCATTTTCTTGTTAGTTTTTCTCAAAGGTTCTTTATTTGTCGGAAAAGTTTCCAATACTAAGTATTACTTTGTAAAGTTGAAAATACTTAGATGTAAATTAATTTCTACTCCATATTTTTCTTTCTAATATTTATTATAAGTTTGGTCTAATCTCTTTCACCTAATGTTCAGGTTAGATATTATATGAGAATCAGAAGCATAAAATGATGCAGCTAAATGTTACATACTAAACCAGAGACCAAAGATGTACATAAATTAAGGAGCTACGCCAGCTTTTGCAAAGTGATTTGAAGAACTTTGATTCCTTTGTTACCAGTAAATAGATATTTGTTGTGTAACACATATATGAGTTTACTTTTATTACTATTAAAAGTAGTATACCATGAAAGTCTCAAGGGTGAGTCTACTTTGGCATATTATGCCATTAATTAAGGATAAGACGGTGGGTTCAAGTCCCAACGCACCATGAGGGTAAGACATCGGGTTTTGAGTCCTGATGATCCATGATTGTAAAAGTTGGGTTCGAGTCCCAACTCATTATGGCCTAACATGTCTTTATATGGGTCAAGCATTGGGTTTGAGCTCCAATGCACCATATGGACGACATAGTGATGACTAAAGAAAAATAATGTATTTTTCATGAAAAAGCATAAATCTTGTCCCACTTGATTTGCATCATTCTCGAAGTGAATGTGGTAGCAATGTATAATAAGTAAATGAAGACAAGTGGTTGACCAATGAACATGGGCGTGCCATTGATCAAATAATAATAGTCATCATTATGGTAAATGAGAACAATAAGGGTTCTCGAAGTAATCCTTCAATAGGTGAAGGAAATATTTACCATCAAATTGGTATGAAAAATTTATAAAGCACGTCGCGTTAATTATACTCCATTCTTTGAAGAGAATGTGACTTGTGCATTGAGAATGCAGATTCATTCCTGAAGGTGAATATAACAATATGTGTGATAATAGGTAAATTTAACTATAATTAGGCCCTAAAAAACCACCTTCTTGTATAGTTTTGATGATAAAAGTGATAACAAAATGCTCTGATTAGTGCTTTTCATGCTTTGCAGGTGATATATGACAAGAGAAGGCTATGGAGTACTTTTGGGATCAAATATGGAGAAAAAGAGGCCAATCGTAAAATTTGCCAAGTGAACCAAGCGAAGCAGCTCAAGCCAGGCCTGAAGAAGGACAGCCGCGGTTCCACCGCGACCGCGGCAGAACCGCGGTAGAAGACGGTCGCGGATAAGTTGAGATTCAGAGAAGGTGTGTGGCCGCGGTTTGACCGCGACCGCGGCAGAACCGCGGCAGAGGCGGAAAAGTTCAGGGACTTAAGTGCAAAATACGGGATTTTTAGCCCAAAACCCTATTTTAAATATTAGACTTCGCCCAAGGGAGGCGAAAAATTGTATTGGAGAATATTTTAGCAAGGAAAACAATTGTGAGAGATCACCCAAAACATCTTTCTTCTTTTCTTTGATTTTTCTTGCAAGTTTTATGATGAATATTGTTTTAGTTTGTTTACCCATAGTTATGAGTAGCTAAATCCTTTGTCTAAGGTTTTGATGGAACCTATAAGGGGATGAACTTCTTGTTTATGTGAATACAAATTGCTAGTTCCAATCTCTATTTGTTCAACTATGTGTTTGTTGTAGTTAATTGACAAGATCCTCAATTAGCTGTGCCTATTTAGTGTGCATAACTCGGGAGAGAGTGCATATTTAGGTAATTGTTGAACAACACCACTCCCAAAGTATATGAGGGATCAATAACCGAGGGTTTAAAGGCGGGATTAGGGATAACGAAGTCTTGGGTGTAATCTAAAGTGAATTGTGTTAAATAAAGCAAGCTAGTGTATCTCGGGAGAGTGCAACTAGTAAATTACTGTGATTACTCGGGAGAGATTTACGGTAAGAAGAGCGTTCATGATTGATAAAGATGTGTTGGTAAATTTGTATGAAGCATAAACAGAAGGAATTCCATCAATAGGGGAAATTATTACCTTAGCACTTTCTCATAATTGTTTACAACTTAGCATCTTTAATTTGTAGCTATTAGTTACTGTTGATCTTAGTTATTAAAAACACCATCAACTGTGATTCTCAACGTTTTGGAAATTGATTCTAAAGAGTTTAGTAGGTCTAAAGATATGATTGATAGGTTAATTCTCTGTGGATTCGACTCTGGGCACAATACTCAGGTTATATTTGCAACGTCCGCATTGTCCTTTTTATAAGGCATAGTTGGGCGTGATCAATGTGATAAAAGTAATAAATAAAGACGTGCAATGCATGATTGGATACACCACAACTCACCTCTAAGGGAGGTTTGAGAGAAAGAGAGATAATGAATATTAGTGTGTGATTACATGAATATGTCATTGCTCGCGTACATGTGGTACGCCAAAAATAATTTGACATGCCTTATAAAAAGTTATTAAAGGCAAAAGTAAAGCAAGAAATGATTTTGCTTATGATGATTTTGACCATGACAATTATTATGATATGATTTTCTCCGTGAAGGAGACATTCACCGTATGGATGGTGTGACAAAAGATATTGTAGTACAAAATCAATTAAGAGCTCCGGAAGAGCTAATTTGTTACTACCCAGATGAATAAAATTATTCATGACATTGATATTGTAGTAAGTCTCAAACGAAATTTTTGAGTTTCAAATATATTAGCCAAAGTGGTTGGCATATTGAGACTATAAATGAAAGGAAGATTGAATATCTTCATATTACTATAATCATATCGGGTAAATATAAAAGGTTACCCGATTTTTCTTCTATTTGTACTACACAAGTATAAGCATGATGATGGAATCACATGTCACAAGTAAACTAGAGGTTTACTGAAATAAATATTAGTTGGCATGAACGGGTTGGCCATCCCGGTTCAATTATGATGCAAAAATTAATTGAGAATTCACATTGGCATATATTGAAGAAATAGAAGATTCTTCAGGAATTCTCTTGTGCTGCTTATTCTCATGATATACCAGTTAAGGTTGGGATTGAATCCCTTAAGATCTGGAATACATACATATATATATATATATATATATATATATATATATATATATATATATATATATATATATATATATATATATATATATATATATATATATATGGGCTCAATCACCTGCCATATGGACCGTTTACTATTATATAATTTTAATAGATGCATCTATTGTATGGTCATATGTGCGTTTGTTGTCAACTTGCAGTTTGGATTTTGCAAGATTGATTGCTCAAATTATTAGAGCAGAGTCCGGAATATAAATTTATCTTGATAATGCTGGTTTAAATCCAAGTTGGTTTAACAGAGATTGTATGCCTCCAATTATAGCTAAACCATTGGTTATGAGAACAAAATTACCAAAAGGAAATTTGGTATGAAATGTATTATTTAATATAGAGCAGCACTTGTACGCATCTAGCTAAGTTATGATAAATTCTCCCCGTCACAATTGGATCAGGGTCAGGAACAAATAATTTCCATCTTGAAATATAGATGTGCTATATGATTTAATTGTGACACCACAATGCACAAAGATGGGTTCCCAAATAAGGTTGAGAAATGTGTTGGTGATCCTAACATTAGGGGGAGAAAACGGGCAGCTGAAACAGTGATACGTGGAATGAATTATTATGAATACATCTAGATCCTCGTACAAGAAAATGTGAACTTATGTGAACTTGAAGTTCAAGTGATAATTCATTTCTAAAATATTGCTAGGAGCATTTGCTGACCCAAGGCTAAATGTCATATTTCAGCTGTTAATGCACCAAAATAGAATAAAGTCCATGATGGACAGAGTTTATGACACGCATGAAGCGTAATAGACTAATCGGTTCCAAAGATAAAACTCCTTGAAGAAGGAGAGGAGCAAATGTTCAAGATGGTCACAATAAGGAGGCAAGTGCTTTATAAGAGCACCATGACATAACACTTTATAAGACCTCATGGGAGAGGCTCAGGTACCTGAAAATAATGAGATAAAGAGATCTCAATAAGTTATGTCTTTAGTGGGTAATGACGGAACCGATGTAAAATGATCATTGACAATATTGTTTATATAATGTAGCGCCCAATATTATTAATATTGACGAGGATGTTGAGCTCAGATCTGTCATGGAATTTGGACAGATAAATGATTGGCCAAATGAAAAATATGCAATGAAAATTGACTTCATCTGAAAAATATGAAGTTGGGCGGATAGTTCCAATAGCTGAAAGTATAAAGGCTATATGGAGATATCGAAATACGATTATTGTTATATTGCAAAAGGAATCCTTGATATAGATTTGTTTATTCTAACAAATATTGTCAAGGTTTTGTTGGTTATACAAATGCAGGGCATAGTTCGTTGTTCAAACAATCTATTTTCATGTGAGGACGTGTGACTTTTCTTTGGAGAGACGATTCCAATAATATTGAAGACGATGATGCTTGCGTAGCTCAATTAAAAGAACGATATATTGAAGAAGACAAAATAAAGCACATTTAGCCAAAGTTTCTTTGCAGAGACGATCTTCAATAGAATGATGAAATAGATGTTCAAGAAATTCCTTCAAGTGATAATTTGGCAGAATAATTCACGAAGGCATTGCCGATCTCAATATTAGAGAAGCTGTTATACAAGCTTGGAATTCGGCGTCCCCGAGAAATAAAGTGATATTTTCATCAGGGGGAGGCAAATACGCGCCGTACTCTTTTTCCCTTAGCTAAGGTTTTATCCCACTGGGTTTTCCTGGCAAGGTTTTTAATGAGGCAGCAAGTAATGCGTATTACAAGATATGTGTACTCTTTTTCCTTCACTAAGATTTTTTCCTCCATGGTTTTTTCTTAGTAAGGTTTAACGAGGCACATTATCTGTGGACATCCAAGGGGGAGTGTTATGAAATACATATTTATATGGATATCCATTAATCAAATATAACTCCCACTACTCTTCTCCATTATGTAGATAACCCCCACTACTTCTCACCATTATTGTTGTAACTCCCTCACCTTCATAACCTACCCATGATCTTCCTCCATGATCTCAAATGTTTAATGGCATACTTATGAAATTCTTTTGGTATACCTCTATGTTGGACTATAAATAGAGGATGAGAACTCATTTTGTAACATACTTGAATACATGGAAGAAATAGATTCTCTTCTCTCTTTCTCTCTACATTGTTGTCTATCTTTTTATTTTATATTATTACTTTGAGCTAAATTTTGTAACAGCTTCTTAGTTTTTTCACCGTAAAAAAAAAATATAGAGCTCTCGAAAAGAAAAAAATAGGTCATTTTTAAAAGTTCAATAGCATTGGAAATATATTTGGCGGAAAGAACGAAGCAATGGAAATACTCCATATGACTAAGCTGCAGGGTAATCTCGTCTTTTTATTGGGCGCGAACTTAACAGATTCTCGATGCCAAACTGAACGGAAAATCTCCCATCAATATAACCGCCCCGCCAACCGTCTTTCCCTTCACATATCCCCAAAACACTCTCTCTGACTCTTCTTCAAGAATTCATCAATGGCGTCCAATACTAAGCTCTTCATCTTCCTCATCTCCATTTTCATCTGCATTTCACAGACCACCGCGGCAAACTCTTTGTTCCGTTCAACATCAGACTCTCGTCGTCACCTTCTCCTAACTCCATCACCATCTCAATCTCCATCTCCGTTAGCCGTCATCCTCTACAATCTCGGTTTCCAAGATCTGGCCAACGCATCTCTGAACGCCAACATCTCCACCATTAATTTCCCACTTACCATTTTCGCCCCTACTGATTCTTCCCTCCTCACTTGCCCTTCTGTTCCCTTCCCTTGCTTCTTCAAGAACACTCTGTTCTTGGTCTCTACTCTTTCCACTTCATCCGTAACCTTGCATTTGGTACAAAGATTGAAACTTTAGCCCCAACCCGCTGTCTTACTATAACCCCATCTCGTATTAACAACTCCTCGAGGTCTGTTTTCGTAAACGGGGTTGAAATTACAAAACCGGACATTTACAACAATGGGTTCGTCATTGTTCATGGTATACAGGGGTATATCGCTCATCTTTCTCCAATTTCATGCAGAATTGAGAGCATGACTACTTTATCATTTCCGTTTATTCCACCGCCCACGGCGGCGTTTGCTGCCACGCGCTTGATGTTAAAAGATGTTATGGCAAGTCTGCGTACTGGTGGTTATAGTATAGTGGCACTTGCTATGAGAGTTAAGTACCCTGAGTTAGCTGATTTGAAATCCATGACTGTTTTTGCAATTGATGATTTGTCAATCTTTGATGGTGGGAATGGGCATGAGTATGTGGCAAATCTTGGGTTTCATATTGTGCCTAATAGGCTGTTAATGGCCTCTGAGTTGGTAAGATTGCCTCATGATACAGAGCTGCTGACAATGGATAGGGGGGAGAAATTGGTTGTGACTACTGAGGGTGGCAATGGTCCTTTGGTTCCAATGAGGATTAATTACGTTAAAGTCAAGAATTTGGATCTAGTTTACAATAACAGGATTGTGGTTCATGGACTTTCAACGCCATTCCCACGTATTCGTCGTCATCAAAATGATGGTACACAGGAATTTCAAGAGATGATGATGGGGACTGTGCAATAATGGGCACAAATGTCAAGGATTAAAGACTACTACTTTCTTGTAAGGCTCTGATTCGTACTACAAAATTGAGAATAATACTCTTGCTGTTCTTTGTAGCACACAATCTTGAGGCATGTAATGTGTAGAAAAGAGAGGAATCATATTGATTTTTGAATGGCTTTTTAGAGAGCTACGTATAATGCAAAATTCTTCTTTTAGTCTTATCTGCTGCCTCTTCTTTAATTTATTTTCGTGTTGTTGATTGGTAGTTCATCCTGTCTTTTACTTCTTTAATTGCATGAAACATTTCGCTTGTATCTTTTTGTATTGGGAAAAAAGTTAGAATTTATATTGAAGATGACGTGGCGTGACACGTGGACTGGACAAGTGGTCAAAGCGTAACAATTGGGAAAAAGGTACGGGAAACGACAGGTACGGGAAGAAGAAGTGAAATAGGCACGAGAAGCAGTTTAGACACGAGTCTCGTACCAATTCGAAGACATTTAAGGCCAGTGGGTCNCATGGGGAGACCGTGGATTCATGATATGGACGCTGTACCCGTCAACTCTACATCAAGTAATAAAATTCCCATCACCATGGGGAATCTGTCAAATTCGAGGGGAACAACATACAGCTAGGAGTATTAATATGGTAACAGATACGAATGCTGTAAATAAAGTTGAAGAAGACATAGACCAAACCACAACGGCACGAGGAAAGACAGATATAGACTTGAGACCTGACATGATTCAAGAGCCTGAAGAGAATGAAAACATCAAAACAACAATTGAGGAGCTCGAGCCTGTGATACTATTTGAACAATGGCCTGAACGAAAGGTTTATGTGGGAGCCAACTTAAGCTCAGATACGCGAGGTATGTCAATTGAATTTTTAAAAGCTAACGTGGATTGTTTTGCTTGGTCCCATGCTGATATGACAGGAATACCACCGGATGTAATGACTCACAAACTAAATGAAGACCCATCTTACATACCCGTTAAACAAAAGAAAAGAAAGCAAGGAGCTTTCAAAAACCAGGTGATTCAAGAGGAGGTCCAAAAGCTATTAAAAATTGGGTCAATCCGTGAGGTAAAGTACCCTGATTGGTTGGCTAATACGGTCGTCGTACCTAAGAAAAACGGTAAATGGCGGGTTTGTGTAGATTATACCGATCTTAACAAAGCGTGTCCAAAAGATTCCTTCCCTCTACCTCATATAGATCAGTTAATTGATGCAACTGCAGGGCATGAACTTTTAAGTTTCTTAGATGCATATTCGGGGTACAACCAAATAAAAATGGACCCCGGTGATGAAAACAAAACTTCTTTCATCACAGACAGGGGGACTTACTGTTACAAAGTAATGCCCTTTGGTCTCAAGAATGCTGGAGCAACCTATCAAAGGTTGGTCACTAAAATGTTCCAAGAACATTTAGGAAAAACTATGGAGGTATATATAGACGATATGCTCGTCAAGACCCAACATTCTAATGATCATATTTCTCATTTATCTGTCACATTTGGAATTTTGCAAAAATTTAATATGAAACTCAACCCAGAAAAATGTGCATTTGGAGTTGCCTCAGGTAAATTTTTGGGTTTTCTTGTTTCTAACCGTGGCATTGAAGTGAATCCTTCTCAGATCAAAGCAATAGAAGAAATTCCTGATATCCTTACAAGTAAGAAAGAGGTTCAAAGATTAACAGGAAGAATTGCGGCTTTGGGGAGGTTTATTTCCAAATCTTCGGAGAAGTGCTTTAAATTTTTCGCAGCACTCAAAAAACAAGATCATTTTGAATGGAACGAAGATTGTCAGCTGGCTCTCAGAAATTTGAAAGCTTATTTGTCAAACCCGCCGCTGCTAGCAAAACCGAAGGAGGGTGAAAAGTTGCTCATTTATTTGGCTGTATCAGAAGTTGCGGTAAGTGCTGTCTTAGTTCGAGAGGACCAAGGTAAACAATCTCCTATTTATTATGTAAGTAAATCTCTGTTAGATGCTGAAACACGATACCCGCAACTAGAAAAGTTAGCTTTGGCTTTGATCATGGCATCTAGAAAATTGAGACCTTATTTCCAATCCCATCCTATTGTCGTGGTTACTGCTTTTCCATTACGAAACATTTTGCATAAACATGAGTTATCAGGAAGGTTAGCAAAATGGGCCATAGAGTTAAGCGAATATGAAATCAGTTACCAATCTAGAACTGCAATAAAATCTCAAGTATTAGCCGATTTCATAGCTGATTTTAGTCAGGGAATGCATTCAGAAGCAGAAAAAGAGTTACAAGTTTTTAATGGTGCAAATCCGGGGACTTGGATTTTATTTGCTGATGGTTCTTCTAATGTAAAAGGTGCAGGCCTAGGGATAGTTCTCGTACCTCCTACAGGTGAAACTATTAGACAAGCTATAAAATGTCATTCTATGACTAACAATGAAGCAGAGTATGAGGCTGTAATTGCAGGTTTAGAACTGGCACGCGAACTTGGCATAACCCAGATTATAATCAAGAGCGATTCTCAACTTGTGGTTAATCAAATACTGGGGACTTTTACAGCCAGAGAAACTCGAATGCAAGAATATCTGGAAAAAGTACGGGAATTAATAACACAATTCCAAACCTGGAAGGTAATGCAGATCCCAAGAGACGAGAATGCAGAAGCAGATGCATTATCTAATCTCGCGTCTGCAGCAGACGTGGCAAATGATTCAAATACTTCAATCGTACATCTGTTTCATTCCGTCCTCGAACCTGATAAGAATAAGGTAAATTTTAATCATTTAACATGGGATTGGAGAAATGAAATTATTGCTTTTTTACAGCATGGTACCGTACCTATCGACAAAGCAAAAGCTCATGCACTTCGCAAAAAAGCTGCCCGTTATTATTTACATCAAGGGAATCTTTATCGAAAGATGTTTGGTGGCCCGTTAGCAAGGTGTCTCGGACCTTCTCAAACAGAATATGTGATGAGGGAAGTACATGAAGGACATTGCGGAAGTCACGCTGGTGGGAGGTCCCTGGTGAAAACATTGATTCGAGCAGGATATTATTGGCCCAAGATGGAAGAAGAAGCTAATGATTTCGTGTCTAAATGTGATAAATGTCAAAGATACGACAATAATATACATAGACCAGCTGAGTTACTCCATCCTGTCATTGCCCCGTGGCCCTTTATGAAATGGGGAATGGATATTGTAGGTCCTTTACCACTAGCAAAAGGTCAGGTAAAATTTCTACTTGTGCTTACAGATTACTTCACTAAATGGGTAGAAGCAGGAGCTTTTAAACAGGTGCGGGAGAAAGAAGTTAAAGACTTCATTTGGAGAAACATAATATGTCGTTTTGGAGTACCAAGGGAAATCGTCTGTGATAATGGACCACAATTCATAGGGGCCCAGATCACAGAATTTTTCGAAAGTTGGCAGATTAAAAGAATAACATCTACACCATATCATTCAGTGGGAAATGGACAAGCTGAGTCCACGAATAAGGTTATCGTCAACAACTTGAAGAAAAGATTGCAAGATTCGAAAGGTAACTGGCCTCAAATATTACCTGGAGTATTATGGGCTTATCGTACAACGACAAAAACAAGCACGGGAGAAACCCCATTTTCAATGGTTTATGGTGCGGAGGCGTTGATTCCAGTAGAGATAGGAGAACCAAGCATACGGTACGTTCAAGCATCGGAGGAATCAAATGATGTAGAGATGCGGGTGAATCTTGATTTGTTAGAAGGAAGAAGAGAAATTGCACTAATAAGAATGGCGGCACAAAAGCAAGTAATTGAACGATACTATAACAAGAAAGCACGCCTCAGATTCTTCAAAATTGGGGACTTCGTGCTTAAAAAGGTGTTCCAATCTACAAAGGCTGCTAATTCAGGAAAGCTGAGTCCAACATGGGAAGGACCCTACAGAGTTCGTGACATTGCAGGAAAAGGAGCATACGAGTTGGAGACAATGGATGGCAAGCTATTACCCTCACATTGGAATGCTGTCCATCTAAAAAGATACTATTTTTGAGAAAAGTATCCACGGTCAGGTATCTCTATGTTAAATATTTTTTTAATTATTAACAATTTTACTAACGATTTTAGATGCTAGGCAAAAACCCTAACTCGTGCCAAATGATGAGTCACGACCTGTACGGCAAAAGGGAATATTCTTAAATTCCCAGCCCAGGGTTACAATTAATCTGATGGAAAAATACACGGGTTAGGTAGTCTTCATCTCTAATCGAACCTCCGAGTCCCGCAAATTTTTCTGTTTCAGGAAAAGGACCAAGTTAAGAGAAAAAAAAAACAAGTGCTTGAGGCTTCATATTTCACAGCTCAAACACTTGGGGGCTGTACAATAAACACAGAACGGATACGTGCGGAAAATAGGTGCGCAAATCAAGAGACAAGTGTCGAGCAGAGTTTATGTAATCCAAGCATAAGCATACATCATAGTATTTTTTACCATGGGAGCAATAAAGTCGCCTCTCAAACCCTTCCTAAGATGGGGTCGGCACTATGTACTAAAACAGGTTATAAAGAAAAACCTCGTGTCTATTGTTCTTCTTTTATATAAATCTGTTACAAGGAAAACAGTTGCGAGAAAGTTATAGATGTACTTTAATACATGTAAATGTTTGTTCAAGTTCATAAATAAAAACTTGTCGAAGTTGTAGCATACAAAACATGTGTATTCATATTTCTTTCATCGTATTATAACACCATTATGAAGTTGAGACGTCTTCTTCATTAAGTGTCTATAAAATAAAAGGGCCCTCTTTTATAAACCTCATGTTAATATTCCATGAGAAGAATCATAAAGCATTTTCAAAAGATAAAAATGCTAAGCTATTCTACAAGTCCTAAATAAGTAAAAAGGCAAGAATAGAATATAAAGAAGTACTCATAAAACTTCTTAACATAAAAGACTGAGGAAAAACTTAGTCACCAAAATGTTTGTCTTACAAGTGTCCCATAAATGTAACTAGGGACTTCATCAAAAGATTCCTTCAAAATTGCCAA